CCTCTGCAACTGGATTCCAGTTCAGTTCAGTGATTAGTTGTGGGTGTCTGCTTCTACTTCCACCAGCTGCTGGATGAGGGCTATCGGGTGGCATATAAGTCAGTCATCAATCTCATTATCAGGGGAGGGCATTTAAGGTAGCCTCTCCTCTGTTGCTTAGATTGTTAGCTGGTGTCATCTTTGTAGATCTTCAGACATTTCCCTAGTGCCTGATTTCTCTGTAAACCTAAAATGTCTCCCTCTATTATGGTATCTCCATTCTTGTTTTCTTCTTATAATCTTCTTTTTTAAAATACTTAAATCTTTTAAAGATTTTACTTATTCTTTTTTACTGTGTGTTTGTGTGTGCATGCACACGTGTGTGCAATTGCCTCCATATGCCAGAAGAGGGCATTGCATTCTCTGAGTTGGAGGTGGATTCAGGCCACATCATGGGTGCTGGGAATTGAAGTTGGGTCCTCTGGAAGAGCAACAAGTGCTCTTAACTGCTGAGTCTCTCAGCCCCTAAATCTTTGATTCTATGAGGAGTTTATTTTGTGTCTTTCCTGGGTGACTTAATACGCCATGTCCCTTCTGTGCCCACTTCCCTTTGATGAGTCTCTTTCAGGGTGTTCTCTTCTGCCTTGCTGCATCTCCATCGGCTGCAGTTTTGCTGTGTTTCACTGTCACTTCGCACAGGGATTGTCTATGAGGATGGAAAAACACTAGGGCCCTGCATTTCAGCGAGGAAGAGAAAGCTCGTCACCCCCGTGGCTACTTTTTTCTGTGGCCTGCGTTGTCCATTCATTTTGCCCCATTAGCAAGCCTGTTGGTACTGTATGGGGATCACATTAAGCCTATAAGGGCAGCTGGATGGTATTGGGTTCTTTATGATTCCATGGCTATTTTTGTCTTGGCCCTAATGTTTCCCTTTGTATCTTTTGTGACTATTTGTTTTCCTCACATTGTTTGCTAAATTTATGAAGTATTTTATCTTGTACTGAAGAACAGTAGATCCTAACAGGATGTTGTTATTTAGTTAAAATGTATGTATTTGCATATTTATATATATAAAAAACCTTTAGTGTTTAAAATAAGTTCATGGTTTGTGTTGGGCTGCATGTTGCCTGCAGACCACTGGTTGAACACTCCTGGTACTTTTAAATGTTTTAAAAATCATGTTTTCATATAAATACCACTGATGTATTTTTAAAGTTTGTCTTGTTTCTTTATGGAATAAATTATGGTGTGAGATCCAGCGTAGGAACCAGGAACCAAGATGGCTTCCCTCTTTTTCCCGTTACATGCTGTCATCTGAGCTCTTTGGTTTACCTGTTTGATTTTTGTCCTTTACTAGGTTAAGGAGCGTGGAGATAATGGGCAATCTTCATCTTACTTTTTATTGGAAGAAGATGGTTGATGAAGTACATTGAGTTTTAGCAAAGGCATTTTCAGAGTGTTGGATACAATCACATCATCTTCTGCTTAGTGGATTGTAGAGGATTTTTCCAGTAGCGAATCAGCATTTTAGTTCCTGAATAAAATGCTGCTTGTTTGCTGGGTTCTGTTTCCTAAACATGCTTTTAGATTTTGTTCACTGATACTTAATTACATCTGTTATTTCATTTATAGAGAATCCTTTGTCTAAAAAGCTTTTATTTTTACTGCCTTTTGAAAATACTCAATTTTTGTTGTTGTTGTTGTTGTTGTTGTTGTTGTGTGTATATGGCTGGGCATTCAGGTGCCTCCCTTCCTCCCCCCCCTCCCTCCCTCCCTCTGCATAGGTGGAGAGAGCTTAGAGGAATTTGTTCTCTCCTTCTACCAAGTCTGTGCTGGGGTATTGAACTCAGGCCGCCAGTCTTTGCAGTAGGTGCTTTCTTTAGAGCTGTCTTGCAGCCGCTTTTACTGTCTTTGCATTTTAGCTTGAATGAGGCATAAAAATGAGGTTCCCTTTCATTTTTATTTCAGAGTTGGGATTATGTAGGTTTGGCTCTTGGTGATAAAAGCCCTGTGATGTCATTGGAACTTCATGTTTGACTAAGGGGTTATTGCCTGATAGTGTAATTTCCCCCCTAAGAAAAAGGTATATTCCTCAAGAGACTTGTTTTAAAATACTAACCAAATTAACTTTGCAAATTGTTTCTTTAAGCACTTGCCATTTTCATATTAATTATTTGGAAGTCTGAGGGCCTAAAATGAGGGCAGTTTCCTTATTTTAAGGCTGTGATTGTTGTCATTTAGTTGTGTATATTTGTGTGTTGCCCATTTTATCAGATTAGTTATTATTCTTAGCTCTGCTTTTGAATCCTGAAATTAGAGCAGTTTTTTATGAACCTTTTTTAAAATACCTGTTTTATCTTTTTCAGTTCCCTTATCACACTCTAATTTTTCTCTTCCATTTCTTTAGTTTGATCTGTAAACAGTTTTTTAAATAAAAATTCCTAGAATGTATAAGTATGTATACATATCTACATTCCTATTTACTGCTTTATGTATACTGCAGATTCTGGTAAGTAATCTGTAAGGTCACTTACTACTTAGGTACTCAATAATATTCTTAACTGAAAGCAGGTAATTAGAATTACATTGTGATTAAGCGGATAATGGGACAGGTGGGATGTTTCTGGAAAAGCTGGGGTTCCGTGTTGTGGAAAGAAAACAGCATTCTGGCTCGCAGCCACTGCTCTGTTCACTTGCAGACCCTGTGCCGCCACTGAGTTAAGTGCTTTATCTCTGTCAGCTCATGTAAGCATTTCAATAGAAGCTTGAGGTTACATATTACCTCCCTCTTTTGTAAGAGGAAGCTGTCGCCCTGAAGATGTCATATAACTGGTCTGTAAATCTGTCCAACGAGGGAGTCCTATTGTCCCCATTGGAAGCCAGGTCCAACCCCCCAGGTTGGTTAGTGTCTGGGCAGTGGCACTGTGATGTCACAGAGGCCCTGGGCAGTGTGGCAGAACCGTAGACGCTAAGCAACGAAGTGTGAGCGTGTGAGGTAGCACTGGCTTGGTGTTCAGTTAATGGAGAGAGAAACATGAGGCTGATCTGGGCTGCGTGAAGCGACGGTGACCTGAAATATGCCTGTGGGACATCTCAATGGATCCTTGTGGTAACCAGGTGAGCCAGGGGGTGAGAGGGCCTTAGAGCGTCCATTGTCCCCATGGGGTTTGTCTTTCATTGCTTTGCTGGTGGTAGGAGATTTAATGGTGGACTTGGCAGTGGTGGAAGGCAGTGGAGGGCTGAGAGCATGCGCTTGAAGGAGTCTGTGCTCACAAAAGGACCGGGGCACCTCGTGTTCCTGGCCTGAGTCCGTGCTCACAAAAGGACCGGGGCACCTCGTGTTCCTGGCCTGCAGGGAGTGAGTGAGTGAGGAAGGCGGAGGTGGGCTGCAGGGTGCTGAGGAAGTGTGGTTCTGAAGGGGAAGGCTCCTATCTCAGAGCCAGGCTCTCCTGTCTCCTCGTGCTTTCTTTGGAAAACTTTCTTCCTTTCCCCATCCTTCAGCTTTTCTACGTACGTCTTCTCACTTTTCTTTCCTCCTCCTCCTCCTCCTCTTCCTCCTCCTCCTCCTCCTCTTTTTTCATATGATGTACTTGGATATTCAGTGTTTGAAGAATTTCCCTTAGGATTACATGGCATCTTGTTTTAAATCGTGGCTATAGACGTGAATGACAAAGACAGTGAAATACCTAGGCATTGGGGCTGTCTTAGAGTTTCTGTTGCTGTGCCAGAACACCAGGACCAAAAGCCATTGGGAGGAAGGGGTTTATTTCTGCTTACAAGTCCTCAGCACAGTCTACCACCGAGGGAAGTCAGGGAAGGAGTCTGGAGGCAGAGGCCATGAGGGGTGCTGTTTACCGCCTTGCTCTCCATGGCTTGCTCAGCCTGCTTTCATGCACCCTAGAGGATCACCGTACAACACAATGTACCACAGGCCTCTCTAGTGGGGGTGTTTTCTCGGTTGAGCTTCTGTCTTCTCAGGTGACTCCAGCTGGGTCAGGCTGACAGGAAATGCAAGGTTGGCAGTGCTCACAGTTTGTTCGTGAACACATTCTGTCTAGGACATTTTACATCTGAAACTGCAGCCACAATGTGCTAAAGTGCTCGCAACCCTGCTTTGTAGTTGTGTCTTCGTTACAGAAGACAGGGAAGGACAGAAGACAGGCCATTGTTACGTGCTTGGTGTGACAGGCAATATTTAGCTCATATTTTTCAGAGTTGATGTTACCAGTTAAAAATCAGAATTAGAAGTTGGAATCTTTTAACGTTTTTAGAGAATTCACTTTAACCATACATAGGGAAGATTTGGGGAAAATTCTGAAAAATATATGCCAAGTTCAAACTTGAATTAAAGTTGTATATGTTTGTCTTTGAGTTGAAAAAATTGAAATACCTTTGTGTAGTTACACACACACACACACACACACACACACACACACACACACACACACGCGCGCGCGCGCGCATGCATGCAAGCAAAGACACACACACATGCACACATGTGTATGTGTGCACACATGTGTGTATTCATGCACACACAGACACACATGCATGCACACACAGACATACACATGCACACGTGTGTATGTGTGCACACACGTGTGTATTCATGCACACAC